AGACGATGACCTTATTTTTTTCTCCTCCAAGGATGTTTTTACGAGCCTCTCCTCGCGAGCGAGCAACTTTGAAATCCCTTCCATTAGCCGCCTTCCAGAGAGGAAAAAAAAGTATTTGACGATATACAAATTCGAAGACCTCAAACCCCGCCCCTCCAGGGCACGCTCGCCGTTACATCCGAACTAATAAACTTGTTATGTCCAAACTTTCGAGCTCATCCCAAGAAGTGGATCATAATGAGAGACACTTCTGAATTTATTCCCTCTTTACATTGTGTTCCGAAACACTGGGAGGAGGCTAAGTGCAACGATTTGCTGTAATTCATTACCCGATCGGAAAACACTCCGTAGAGAAGCTTGGGCACCGCAATCACCATAACTCCCGGGTCGTTTAATTTAAACTCTAGCGGAAGATCAATACAAACCGAGAATAGAAGACGTGTCCTCGATTTTGAGGTAGCCGTTTCTTTTTCGTGCTGGCGTTTCTTTGAGACCACCACGATTTAACGTACTACGTAACTCATAGGCTGGAGAAATGAATGGATTTTAAATTTTTTAAATCTATCTGCATTTCTAGTCATGAAAAAGTGCAGTTTTTTTCCAAAATGTGTCCCAATCTTTTGGGAAACAGTATCTTGAGAACTGAAGGTTTCCTCAGAACAATCTCTTATCATTATAAGCCTGCGTGTACTTAAAATACAACGCGCTGTACTCGTAGAAATTCATTACTGATGCCGGAACATAGATTTATGACTTTACGAATCATCAATATTTAAGGTGATTCGACGGTTGCCATTTTTTGTGTCAGAGCGATTTATCGCATCAATTCGTTCCATAATTTCGGCTACTTGTCATTTTTTTCGAACTTTGAGATCGCACTTCGGTTGTCACGAGACTAAAGAATTCATGTACTAAATTTGACAAAGAAATTCAACGTATTGAAAGCAGGGTTTTTTCGGAGGAAAAATATCGCATTTGATGATACTGATATCTAAACTGCACTCTAATGCGATATTTTTTCTCTGAAAAAAAACCCTGCTTTTAATACGTTGAATTTCTTTGTCAAATTATGTACATGAATTCTTTAGTCTCGTGACAACCGAGGTGTGATCTCAAAATTCGAGAAAAATGCCAAGTAGCTGAAAGGAACGAATTGATTCGATATATCGCACGTCGCTCAGACACAAAAAATGGCAATCGTCGAATCACCTCAAGAAATAAAAATTGAATTGCATCTCGACGGTCTTGAAGTTTAAGAAGTGCAGAGTCAAATAATGTGTGTAAAAAGTGAGCGCTAATGAAGAAAAAAATACTTAAAAATGGAATGAAACAATTCTAAAGTTAATTCAAAGTTTATGTACGACAGCATGTTTCAGCCCGCGATGACGAAAATAGGGATGGATAAAACGGGCGTCAGTTGGGAAGAGAGGGATAAAAATATGACGAATCATTTCCGTTTCGGTAAATAAGTGTGAGATAAGAAAAGCCGGGGGACATCGGGGTGTTAGGACGAGAATGAAAGAAATAAAACAAGTTTAGTGAACTCTGGCTCGTCGTTGAACGGTCGAGTGTCGTCTTCTAAGCCGATGGTTGGTGCGGATTGAGAGTTGATATCTCCCTTGAAAGTTTAATTATTAGGTGTCATGTAGTTTTTATGTCCTGCTGTGGCGAAACGATGCTCTGTTTTGTAATTAATTTACTGGGGCAAAGCCGCGAGTAATTTAATAACAGCATTAACATGACAGCTGTAAAGCTGGAGAATCCTCACTCCCGGCCCTGCCCCGACCACGACCACCCCAAGATAAAGTAAATAAAAAGTTAGGCAACTTCCCCTCCTATAATCCATGCTTGTACTTTCGGATCTTCTTTCTTTTAGGGTTCGAGGTCGGGTGTTGGAATTTATAATCCTCTCACCCGCCGGAGATTCGTCTCGTAACGTAATATTCCTTCCGTTACTCGTATTTTCGTCCCCATTTTTTGCGCGGTTACCCGTTCTGCCGTGCTGATGAGGAACGTCGTATGAACATTCGAGAGTTGCCAAATTCACTTCGATAAAATGTTCATTTCTGAAGAAAGTTATGAATATTTTTCCTTGAAATTTTCAGAAGCTTTAGGTGAAATTCTGAACAAAATGATTTGAAAAATTGGGATGAAAATATTCACAAGTTTACCAGAAAATTCGCGTTTTATGAAAGGAAATTTGGCAACGCCTGAAGGTTCATACGGCGTTTTTCCTTGGCACGGCAGTGTTGAACTCATTCAGACCGTTTTGATTACATTTGTCCTTACATGCATGGAGTATCCTTCCGTGCTAAGGAAAAACGCCGTATGAACCCTCAGGCGTTGCCAAATTTCCTTTGATAAAACTTCAATTTTCTGGGATCCCTATGAATATTTTTTTATTTTATTATTTTTCATACTGTACCAGATAACAGCTCTTATCCATCCATACAACATACTAAAATATCATAGTTGTACCTGGATTCCCACGATGTGAAAATTGACCGAGATGTCGATTTTAGCGGCCTTTTTATACTTGAAGGCAGCTCTTTTGAATGTTTTTCGACCTAAGTCACCCTCTATGGGTGTGTACTATATGTATTTTTCTACGTACTTTTTATATCTGGCCATAAAAATGGCTTCCTGTGAATTTTAAAAGGCCTAACGGTCCATTGTTGCCAATTTTCACCAATTTTTAGGGGTTTTTTCAAGTTTACGTGTGTGAAACTTAATTTAATCTAGAAACCGTGTACAATTTCGGAAAGAACGTAAAAGAATACATAGGAATGTGATTTGTACCTTTTCCCTACGTTGCCAAATTTTCGAGAAAAATCGTCCTGAAGCGTCAAAAATGCCAAAAATTGGATTAATCATCACGTCGGAGGTTCCAGGAAGTGAATTTCAAGTTTTTTTTCACTACAAATAACGTATCGAAAATGAAAAATTGCAATGCATCTCAAGGAACATGTAATGCCGTACCTAGATGAACGTGACAAAACGGGCCCTCAAGGTGCTTTTACTTTATCCTTCACTCCAGTTCACCTCTTTATTCCTGTAACCTCGAGATAATCCTTGGTTCTCAAGATGCTTGCTACAGGCCAAATATACCGAAGAACAGAAAATGCGTAGAGAAAGTGGCCCACGATCCACATGAATGTCATGATTCACTTACTGGAACCTCCGACGTGATGATTAATCCAATTTTTGGCATTTTTGACGCTTCAGGACGATTTTTCTCGAAAATTTGGCAACGTAGGGAAAAGGTACAAATCACATTCCTATGTATTCTTTTACGTTCTTTCCGAAATTGTACACGGTTTCTAGATTAAATTAAGTTTCACACACGTAAACTTGAAAAAACCCCTAAAAATTGGTGAAAATTGGCAACAATGGACCGTTAGGCCTTTTAAAATTCACAGGAAGCCATTTTTATGGCCAGATATAAAAAGTACGTAGAAAAATACATATAGTACACACCCATAGAGGGTGACTTAGGTCGAAAAACATTCAAAAGAGCTGCCTTCAAGTATAAAAAGGCCGCTAAAATCGACATCTCGGTCAATTTTCACATCGTGGGAATCCAGGTACAACTATGATATTTTAGTATGTTGTATGGATGGATAAGAGCTGTTATCTGGTACAGTATGAAAAATGTACTCCACTTTCTTGAGCCTTAGACGCGGCGATTTATCGATTTTTTGCCGTTTTTGACACTTTGGGACCAATTTTCTCGGAAATTTGGCAACATAGGAAAAAATTTCACTGAACATTTTTTATTCATTTTTTTACGTACTTTTCAAAAATGTACACAGTTTTTGGATTAAATTGAGTTTTGAATGTGTTGAATGGAAAAAACCCCTAAAAATGGGCCAAAAATGGCAACAATGGGCCATAAGGCCCCTTAAATTTATCGGAGGCCTTTAAAAAGGCCAGAAACGAATAGTACGCAAAAAATACATAAGAATCATGTGCTGGAAGAGTGATAACAGTCGAAAAAGTCGACGAAAATAATTGTTTTTCGATTCCAGGATTTTGGGTTTGAGGCGCTGCTGCGCCCTTGCATGGGCTCCGTTCGGTCTAATATTTGGCACAGAGTCTGCCTAAGACTAGTACTTTGAAGATATGAAACATTTAGCAAAATCCAGGTGGGGCCGGAAAAGGCCCAAAACGTTACTCCTCCTTTCAAGATAAAGTATTCACAGCTTTCTTCAAAAATAAACATTTCTTTGAGAGAAATTTTGCAACTCTCGAATGTTCATACGGTGTTCCTCCTTAGCACGGCAGTATCCGTCATTGGCGGGAATTTATCATATTAAGGATGGTCATGGATACTTTTCCGTTCCGGGAATCGAGGTAATCCCCCTCTAGTTCGCGGTGCTATTTTTATCCCCGTTCAGAGAGCCCGTCTGGGAATTTTTCCAGGAATAAGGAAGTTTCTTCGAATGCTCTATTTAGTAACTGAAATTCATCAGAAAATGCCCGTGAGAGAATATAACCTTCCTTAAATGCTCGCATTAATAAACTATTAGGCAATCTCATGGATGAGGGGGCAGGGATCCAAAAATGTTAGCACCAAAAGAAACCATAGAAAATTTCTGACCAAACTGAAGTTATGAAATTTTAAAGTTTGAAATTGGAAAAAGTACCCTTAGACAAGGAGGGACGTCATCGTTTTGAACACAACAGTTATCGTTTGCCTCATGAAAGCTCAGGAATTGTCGTGTCAACCCTGAGAATGTCGCCATCGATTAGCATAAAAATTAACTCAAACCTCATATCTGGAGGACTAAATTGTTAACAGAAGTTTGCGGCATAGAATTGCAAAGTTTCGGACTGCGATCTTTTCAATGCGTTTAAAGACTTTTTCTTAGAGTTGTATAAATTAACCCTCAAATGTCCTTGTGCTTTATGGAAAAAACCATTAATAAACGCGAATAATCTAGACTCTACTGCATGTTCAAGCGTATTTTTTCCTGACGTAAAATATTTTTTGATTGCAGTTATGACAGTCGGAGGAAAATAGATGAGAAGAAGGGACACTGGAAAGATACGAAGCTGATGGAGGGTCGAGCTTACTTTCGAACTCTAACAGAGCCAGCCACACTCTCGTTAGATGATATCACAGAAGAAGACGAGGGTCTCTACCGATGTCGAGTAGATTTCAAGAAGTCTCCGACGAGAAATACCAAAGTACAACTCTCGGTCATAGGTGAGTATTTCCAACAATAGCCGTATTAAAAATTTTAACACTGTTCGCATGTTTTGCTGCTGGTGTAGGTGTCGCTTTAAATTGTTTTCCGAAGGAAAAGTTTAACTATGATGGTCTTTCACACAACCACGAAAAATTAGTAGCCATAAATATCAAAGGTTCAGACGCCATGTAGACCCGTAATTATTGGTTGCCATAACCAATAATATTGGTCATTTTACCACCAAGTGATAATTCTATTAAACTAGTGCTAAAATTAAAAATACCACTATTATTGGCTCTGGCAACCATTCATCAAATTAGAGTCCAAATGGAGCATCTCCCTTTTGGAACTCATGGCCGTGCTAATTTTTCTCGTTGTCAGCTCACTGACTTCAGAATATCATCCTAATGAATGAATTAAGATTTACGAATTATACCCTGGCTAATTGTCAGTAATATGCTCCTATTGCAGATATACTGCAAATATTTTCCGTATTAAACTAACTAATGACTAATGAGGCCGTACCTCTCACAATTTTAAAATCTATTCTAGTAACTGCCGGTACGTCCCGGGAAATTGGCGCACTGATCCCTTAAGAATTGTCGACGAAAAACCAGGGAGCAGAAAATTTCTCACAATTAAAGCACTTTTGTTCCTTCTGAGTAAGTGAATATCAATTAGTAACCGACAAGAACTTAAAAGCTCACTGATCGCCTCGATTTATAAATGAACTGTAGCATTGAGACGGCGAGACAATGCTTTCAAGGGTCCAATTCAAGGGATCTCCCCGCTTGGGAGTAGTCCAACTCCTGAAATCTGAATAAATTCAAGCTAAAACAGGCTGCGGTCCCTTCGAATGAAAAATTTAAAGAACCACCTAAATGGAGACATGTTCACAAGAGACACCCCCCCCCCCCCGCGCCGAGTTGTTAATCTCGTTTGAAGCCGTGCAGAAAATATCGCAAGAAGTTTCAATCGGTCGAAAAGCGAGGGGCTGGAGGCGGAATTCCTCGGTTGCCAGTCGGTTGAAAATTGGGCACTTTTTCCAACAGAATATTGTGTGTTTCAAGCTAGACCTGCAGGAGCTCATTGAATGGGTCGCAATTTAACTATTTTATATCGATTAATTTTTTCCCCCATGTGCGTCACCGAAATTGAAAATTTAACTTGAAATTTTGAATTCTTTAGGCCGTAGATAAAATTTGAATATACGTATCGTGCTTGACACGTCATTTACTTTCAGAGAAATGTAGAGATTAAAATAGTTGCTTCCGGAAGTGGCTCAAACAAACGGAAAATTTCAGAGCAGCTTTTAGTGAAATGTAAACATCTTAGTCGGAAGTTAATTGCAGTAATTTTCGTTGTGTGAATCGTGTTTTATATGAAATTTTGCGGCGGAATTCGAAATCAGAATGTTTAAATTCGTATACCTTGTCTGGTGGGCCAGTGAGCAGCGAGTAGCGCTGCAAATCGTGTACTTGAGGCACAGAGCAAAAATCTGTGCAGCACGAAACGCCTTCAATTAGGACTGATACTCCGCACTACGCAGAGGTTAAAATAGTTGCTTCCCAAAGAATCTCAATAAACGGAACACTTCAGAGCAGCGTTTATCTGGTGGAATGTAAACATCATGGTTAGGAGTTGATTTCAGTGATTTTCGTTGTGCAAATCGTGTTTTACGTGAAATTTCGAAGAGGAAACACGTATTGAAATGTTTAAGTTCGTTCGTTCGTTAAATTCTTTCACTCGCACGGAAAAAATTGAACGTTGATTTAGCATTTACACTTTAAAAAAATGCGCAACAAGTACCAAATCCTGATTTTACATGTAAAAAATGCTAACTAAATATTAAATTCATGTTCATTTAAGAGTATGGACCTAGGTAACGTAGCATTTGTTTTATTATAAAATCAGCATTCACAATTGTCGCTCATTTTTTAAACATCATGAATGCGAAAGTAAAATTTACTTTCTTTCATCCGTGATCCATTACCATGTTCAAAGCCGGGGGTTTTCCAGTATTCGTGCGCCCCTCCAGTTTGTTAGTTAACCCCGAGACACCCTGTATAGCGCAAAATTTCAATCGGTCAAGAAGCAGGGTTGCCGCGTTCATTTTGAAAGGGGGCGATTTTTTGAGCGAAACCGGGATTAAACGTCGGGATTCCGGGGGCGATTTCGGGCGCGGGGGTGTGTGGGTTGAATTTAAATAAGATTGGCGCGGCAGTGGACCGGAACCGGAAAGGGACCACAATAGCCGCAACCATTTCGGCGGTTCCCCGCGACCAAGACATGAAGCTGTTACCTCGCCCCGGATTCCCACGCAGGACGTCCACGGTCCTTTTATCTTTTATAATCCCCAATTATTTATTTCTACCCCATTTATCTTCGCCATCCGAAACTTCCAAGCTGAGCCGCGTGAATTCATACGTTCAATTTCGGCGACTAAGCCAGTGATTTTGCTCGCCGGTCTGGATTGCCCCCCTTCCCCCCTCCCCTCCAACGAATATAGTTTTTCGGAGAAGTATAAATATTTTTCTTTGGAATTTTTGGATACTTGTATGCAATTGCGAATAAAACCGTCTAAAAAATTCATTTTTCCCTTCTTTTTTCTAAGAAAATCCGTATTTTATCGAATATATAGCATTATCTTAAGGCTCATACCGCGTTTTTCCCCAACACGGCAGCTTTAATATTACAATTTTTTCTTGCTAAAAGTATCGAAATCTCAAGTTAAAGAGGGAATTTGGGTGGTCTTGCATCTTTCAGGGTAAAAAAAAATGGTTACCTCCACCTTGATCTTTAACACCCCCCTCAACTTGAAATTCCAATATTTTTATTTGCATGCTAATTTTGGTCCGGAACTGTCACTAAAATTAAGAAAAAGTCATGAGCTTTCCAAAAATTCAAAGGTCCTAGCTGTGACGGAATTGGGGGCACTTTATGGGTAAATAATTTATAACAGAGAAAAGTCTTATTTTGATTCATTTGACACGCTCCTGCACTTAGGCATCTTCAACCATGGTCATATATTTGATTCACCGTCCGACGGTAATTTCACAAAATCCATTATGAAAATTAACAAGCTGAGTCCTGAGTCGATGAATATTATTCCGATATGCATATCATTTCAATGACTTGAATTGGCATTAATCCACACATCATTTTTGCTTAATTTTAAACATTGACCGCTGCTAATTATACAACACACTTAAAAAAGACGATGGCTCGAAATTTGAGACCAACGGTTGGGTGATTGGGTCATTATTTTAGGGGGCCAGCGTTCAGCGGGTTGCGTTCAAGTCGAGGGACAGGCGCCCGACAAGGTGGTGTTCCAATAGACAGTGACCAGGGTATAGTGTTGTCGACCACCCGACGTGCGGTGCCTCGGTGCTCGGCGCGGGCTACCTTAGTGAAAATCAATTAGCTGAGCAGCTCGTTGCCTATCGGCATTTTTAATTAATCACTAACTCAGCTGCTACCTGGTCTCTCCGCGATAACGCCACCGTGTTCCTCATCCCGGAAATCCCAATTATCCCATTTCCTAGCGGTGTACATTCCGCTTGATTGCAAGTGTAGATTTTTGCGCTTCTAGGAAGGGCTGATGGTTGCCGTTTGTTTGTCCGATAGAAAATAGTCAAAACGGTTCCAGTTCAACACAGCCGTGCTGAGGAAAAACGCCGTGTGAGCGTTCAGATGTTGCCAATTTTTCCGTATCAAAACACAACTTTCCGGGGAAATTTACAATTGTTTTCTTTCAATTTTTGATTGCTTACCCTTAATTTACTTGCCTGCTCCTCTCGTCCAAGATCTTGGATTCCATGATCATCGCTTAAGCAGGGAGTCCAATGCCAAGGAAACCTATCTTAGTGTTAATGTCTACCTATTCTTTATCATAATGGAATATTACTTACTCACGATTTTGGGCGCTGTCCTCACTTTGATTTTTCAACAAGTTTCAACGAGTCTTAAATGAGTTAAGTCTCAAACGAAATTACGATAAATGTGAGCACCTAACTTCATGTATTTCTTTTAAGGGAAAAGAAGGGAAAACGTTCTCTTCTTCTGCTTCAAATCACCAGAATAGACAATCATCGATTTTTTTTTTTTTTTTTTTTTTTAGTTGATTACGATCATAAAAGAGCGCCCCGATTTTAAAGCAACCTACTTACAAGCGAAAATAAATTAAGAAAATCAAAAGCTAACGCAATTACTGATGAGTGTTCATTCGCGAACATTACCTAAGCTGCGCTTCCACAGGCAGTTCACGGCGTGAAATTGACCGCGCGAAGTCATCAGCGTTTCAACGCTCTCAACTTCCTCTTTTTTCAACCAAGATTCAGTGTTTCATATCCAGAAAGGGTCACCAGTCAAGGGATAAATTGGACCGCGTTTAGCAGAAAGGAACCTAAGCCACATCAGTCATTGCCAAATTTAAAGGGGCAATTTGATTTTTTACAATAGAATGTTTGTCCGGTTTCTTATGAAAGTTTAAAGGAAGCCGCCTTTACCCGTACAGAAAATTCACTTAAATTTACACAAAAATCTGCCCAACCGTTTTTACGTAAAACTAAATTGCTCAATTTAATTCGGCAATAGCTGATGTGGCTTATTGGTTACTTTCTGCTTAACTCGGTCCAGTTAGTCCGTTATTTATCCACCTTGGTCAAAGAGCCACCCCTTTCAACCAATCGGATCGCTTGATTTGCCTTTGTAATCTTTGTCTATCGCTTTTTCAATCCATTGCAGTAATCAGCTCGCTAGCGGGTTCAAAATCATCGCACCCGATTGTGGGACCTGGTTAGCTTCTTGTCGAGCGCCGCTTGTGGGACCGTGGCTTCAGCCTTAATTAATCGCCTTTCTTCTTTATCTCTCGTAGATTTGCTGCTTTAGATGTAACCTTTCCAGATCGCTGATTTATCGATTGTGCGGCCGGCTGCTAAGAACGTAGATTACCCTTCGCTTATCATCACTATCTCTTTTTAGCTGTGTTTTCACGATCAAAATAGGACATCGATGC